ATACCTATTCTATCGCTACACTTATGGCAAACGTTTATAAGGGCTCCGTGTTTTAGTGCTACCAACTCAGAATTTTTACAGTTATGTCCAAAATGCTGCACCCAAAGTAGTGAATCATTCTCATTGTCTCATTGGTGAAAAGGATATTCCACTCAGAAAGTTCTTTTTCTCTCTCAAAGAACAGACTCCCTCATGGATTCTCCCTCTATTGCTACCATCTTAATCTCTTCAAGTCAATGTTCCATTTCCTCATAATCTTTCATTTTTCATCTTGAACTAAAATCACAACATCCAGAAAGCTTCTAATTTGATTGAGTCAATTTTGGAACCGAGATATAGCACTCTAATTGAAATTTTGGGTTTGACATGATAAATAATGACACCAAATATTTTTCCAAATCATTATCGTGTTTTGTGGAAATGAGTTTAAAGATTATATTTAGGTCCAAAATTGAAGAGCTGGAATTTGCTTCCTGTGAACCCCTTATAGCACAACCCTATAAAATTTATATTTAGTTGGGTTGAAATTAAAAGAAATAATGAATTCCATAACAAATGTATATGTCCAACCTTATCCCGAAAATAAAGCAACAGTTGACAGAAAATGTTGCATTAAAAACTTTACAGCACAATGCTTTCATCTTGCTTCCAGAAAATATTATTTTCCCAATGTTGAGGTCAAATGAATTGCAGGTGAGGGAAGAGGCTATAAAAAATATTGCCTATTAGATAAATAAGCATTTATTCATACCTTATTATTTATGTTACCTTACAAGACTAATTTTAAAACTTTATTCAAATTATATCACAAAAATATAACCAAGTATGGATAATTTTTTCAATAAAAACTTTTTTTTTTTTCCGAAATAGCGAGCCACTAAAGAATAAATTAAAATATTAATAACATTCATTAACTTTGAAGCGACACTGTGGTCAAAGTTGATTAACTTCTCAGAAAATGGGGTTTGTTAACCTGCGCTTACCGAAGGATTTTATTCTAAATAATGACCTACATGAAGGATGATGTTGAAGTTGTCGAATTTACATTCAAATACGCAAGGTGTGGAAAGAGTAATGAAATTAAATATTGAAGCTTAACAAATTTTATAGGGACAAGGAGCGAGGTACAAGCACATTATAACAGAATCATTGTGCCATCTATTAAAACCTTCATTGACTTTAAAGAGAAATTCTACTGAACAATTTAGCTCTACGATGTTGTAATATTTATGATGTAAATTAATAGTGCAGTAGTTTTAGCGCGATTTTCAAAAAAAAAAAACTACAAATTTAAAACATTTTGTCTTATAATTTGTGTACAGCAGTATTATATTGTTTATACACTTTTATCTAATTTTTTGGTTTTATTAATTATGACGTAGCAAATGGTGTAAGATCTTATTCATTGATTAGCTTTTTTGTAATCGTGTACAATTTTAGTTTTCACTTATTGAATACACTAAAAACAATGCATATTTTCTTTGTAGTGAGTCATAATTAGTATCCATTTAATGTAGCTAATATGAAAAATATAAATTTCATTTGGATTCATTCTTGAAATAGTAAACATTTGAAGTCAATTTTTAAGCAAAATCATGTAGAAGTTAGGTAATACTGTACATTATTATAAATACTTTTACGGTAATTGTTTCGACGAGGTCTTCGCTATGATTGTGTGTTTTTTTTTTTTTTTGTTTTTTTTTTTTACTAATATTATTTTGTTAACTTTCTTGTAAATACATTTGTACTCATATTGTAAATACTCATTGGGACTAGTTTTTAAATTGTTGTTTTATTCCCGTCCCCCCCCCCACAGACAATGAGTTGTACAGATGGGGACTAGTTAGGATTTTCATAGAGACAATGAGGTATTACGGTGGATGCTGAAATTTCTCATTTCATTTTTCAGAATAAATAAAACAAATGATAAAGAGTTTCCTTATATTTGAGGGATCAGAAATCTTTTTTTCTGCATTCTCAATTCATCAGTTGGGTTACCCCAAGCCTTTTGAATGAAATTGGGATGCAGTAGGAAAGGTAAGTAAGAATGTGTTGTTTTGGAATATTGTGCTAGTTTTGGGTCAGTGTTTGTGCCTGGATAAGTTTAAATTTAAGACAGAAGAAGACTGTCCTTTTCGTCATTTAAATTTTTTGTCCTTGTGCCACATTTTCTGTATTGAAGTGGAACTAAATATCGCTCATCGCTATGTTGCCTAGTCTACATTAATTTACTTGCAGTACTAGACTGGTGTGGCACCATTTAAGGAGGCAGAGAAAGAAAAGAAAGAAAAGAAGGCAGAAAGAGAGGCGAGACCAAACGTAGATGATAAGCAGAACACACACACGGCTAAGAGACAATGGATAAGGGATATTTTGATAAGTAACAAATGGCGAAAGAGTGTCATTACAATGACAGGGAAATTCTGAGTAAACAAAAAAAGGAAAGAAAGAAAGAATCAGATATGTTTTGGCGACGGCTGTGTTATCTAGGGATATGCAAACAAACTGCTGGTCGACTGGCCAAAGAAAAATTCAAATGAAAATGTTATTTCGATAAGTGACGAAAAACAGGCAACTAAAAGGACTTTGGATAAATAGGAAAAATTAATTGTATCAAAGCCACACACACGACTGTCCACTGACCGAATTCTTTCGACGGAACATCTTTATGCCTGCGATAATAAAATTATGTTATCAAGAAATGTTCGCCAAAGAATGAATGGGAATTTAGAAATGTCTTTTCGGGGCGGCGTTGGCCGTGTTAAGAAGACCACCCATTCTGATAATTGGCGATAAAATAATTGACGAAGACCAGGTGTAGAACAAGAGTTATGACCACCGCCGTTGCGGCTAGGAAATATGATAACGGCGATTAAGAGGAAGAAAAGGAAAAAAAAGGATAATTTTTTAGTTAAGCAAGATATTTTTTTCCCTGAAACAAAGCCGCGGATTCGTCCACGCCAGACTAAGACATCATTGGTCGAGTGGTGATCACGTGACGCACGAAGGAGGCTGTCACCGCCCATCCAAAGTATAGATATGAGAAGCTGCTACGAAGAAGTGGGGAGGGTAGTCACGCCCCTCTGAAGTATGGTGAGAAGGTGGGAGTAAGGAAAGGCTCCCAAAAATAGAAAAAAGTGGAAATTCCTAACCAGAGAGGTGGATATGTATTTAGAATTATCGAAGAAACCCCGACGCCGACAACCCCCCCACCGGTTTTGGTCGGCGTCCATATAAGCGAAGCCACAACGAGCAGAAATCAGTTCAGTTCCAGAAATGTTTGAGTTGAGTCTCCAGTTGACGCCGCCTCGCAGATAGCTGACCAAGATTCACGCAAATTCCGGACTCCTCTTCAACCCAAGAACAATTATTTTGAAGAGCGACTTAGATCCAGACCACCACAATAATTTTTTTTCGACTTTCGTCCAAAGAATTTCTTAGAGAGCAAACAACTTGAAGCGTTAAAACTCGCCTAACGGAAAACGACGTGTCACAATCCATAGAACGGGTCAGGAGATAGATGCAGTCCTATGTATCGAACAACTAGACATAAAGTTTGTTACCTTTTTCTTTGATATTTTGAACATTTGAGTTTTCATTTTATTTTCTTTTATGCATATTTGTGTGGTATCACCCCCGTTGAACTCGGTTTGCATTACGGCCCCAACCGCTGATTGATCTCGTCTGCCTAAGATCAATTCACAGCGTGGGTAGGCAGACTGGAGATCTATGCAGTTACCTTGGTAACCAGGCGTTGGAAGCGAGTTGGGAACGACGAGGCTGGTATCAAATCTAACCAGATTCCCACCCGAATCACCAAAAGGTTAGAACGTCACATTTGGGTGGCGCGACCGATACCAAGCCAGTTGGTCGTCACAGGACGAGACAACACGACTGACGCGACAGGCGGACGTCACGTTTGGAGCAGCGACACCCGAACGGAGCAGCGAGGAGCGAACAGCTGGCGCCGCGGTGAGGACGTCACAATTGGTGCTGTTTAGGGACGTCACAGTTGGTGCCGTGGTAGACCAGGATAGAATGTCACAGTTGGCGCTGCGACCAGGGGACGACCTCACACTGGGGATGAGGTTCTCCACAATTTATAGTTGAGTTGGTTAGATGTAGCCGTAAATTCTATGCTAATAGTTTACTTTCTTGCACTTGTGGAACTCACTTCAGGCTCGATGCTTTCCAGCCAACTTTAATCAGTAAAAATGTAAATGCAGTGTCAATCGCTATCTGCTGTCCTCCTAATTCTTCTTCTTCTTAGCAATGTTCCTTTTTCTAATTCTTCCATACATTGCATCTCGGTGGCTTTACTGCACTGTTTGGTGTGAACTCGATTTAAAAAAAAAAAAAGATTGAAATTGAATAAAATGTCAATATTTTTTGCTTTTTGTTTCTAACAAAACTTTCTTTTTACTTTGGATGCCATATTTCGATGTTGCACTGCGCCTTCGGATTTTAATGCTGTATTTTTCTGTCGTCTGTTTTAACCATTTCACAGATAGTTACATCTTTGTAATTTCTTAAATTTGACGCCTCCTATTTATGGCCTGCATATTGGGTTTTTCTCCTTGCATACAATTGATAGTTAGCCATTTCTTCCTGCTTCCCCGTCTTCCGAACAGGAATAGAGGTATATCACTTGTTTCCTGTAGAGGATTGGGTTTCCGATTCCTTCTCCTAAATGTTTCTTCTTTCTTTCACGCCCCGTAGTTCTTTGTGTCTTAGTGGCATGAGATTAAATTATTATAAAAAACAATTACCTCGTCTCGGAGTTCCTGCAAATTTACTCTTAAAATAATTTCTTATCGGAAATGAAGTGATTTCCTTATTACATTTGTCTAGACATTTATTCGTTCTAATTTACCATTGCTTTCTGCTTTATCACACGATTAAATACGCTTCAGTTAATAAAATAGGGTGAAATAGGAACGAAGAATTTTTAAAAATCTTTAACAGAGATACCATTTTCGATTGAGGCATTTGAAGACTTCGGGTCATATCATATTGAAAACACCAGTTCCCGTGCGATCATAGAAGTTAAGAAATTGAGCCTCGTCAGTACCTAGTTGGATGGCCACTTGAGGATATCAGGTGCTGTAAGTTTGGATGTGAAGGTGAGAAGGTGATGTAATGGATTATATATCGGAATTGTTAATCTGAGAGCGGAGTACAAATTCAGATTGGGTTCGTTATATTGATTTATGCTCAAATAACATAGGTAGCGCTATGAATCTAATTCTTCTCCCCAACTGTGGGTTAATTATTAGGATTTGTATCACTAAATCAATATTACCTCAAAAACAAAAATGCTTGCAATCTCAAAATATTTTCTGGCTTTAAATAACGTTCAACGTATTGACAAGCGGTAGAAAAAGAATCGACGATCAAATAAATAGATGTAGATATTTGAGAAAAACGCGGCAAATTGATAATTAAATACAATCAAGAAACAACACTTTTCATATGTTCTTTGAGTCGTGAAATAATTCGAGTCTACATATAATTTCGCTATTTTTCTATAGATGCATATGCCGTATCGAATTGGGGACAACACCGAATAAATAAAAAAAATAAAACATTACGAATAAAAACAACATTAAAAAAATAAAAAATAGACAAGCAAAACATAGCCGTGAAATTTTCCCGCACACAAGCCGACCTCAAATTACTCGTTCGCCCACACATGAAAACGCACGAAACTCCGAAAAAATACCAAATATTTTTTGATATTATATATATATATATATATATATATATATATATATATATAATTATTTATGTAGAAATTATAACATAAATATGTTATAAAATCACTACAAAAATAGCCATTTTGTTTCAACACCTCTGATGATGTTGAATGTAAAATAAATGGTTGAAAAAAAAAATTTAAAACCATGTATTTTACTTTCAACATAATCACTTGATAAGACACCGGAGGTGTTGAAACAAAATGGCTATATTTGTAGTGATTTTACTACATATTTATGTTATAATTTTTAAATAAATAATTATAACTGCTCTACTCTGTATTGAGAACTATTTTAAGAATAGTAATTGTTGGTTATTGGAATTCATTCCGTATACACCACTCATATACTTGGGTATATATATATATATATATATATATATATATATATATATATATATATATATATATTATTACATATATATATTATATGTATAATGGGAATTTAACTATGTTGTCGACATGGAAAAAAAAATAATAATAATCCCTTACTATAAAGGTAATTTACATTAACCAGAAAAAAAGGCTTAGACACAAGCGTCTATCTTTTTAATTTTGAATTTTAATGTAACTATAACAAAAAAACATATGTATATATATATATTATATATATATATATGTATATATTAATATATTATATATATATATATATATATATATATATATATATATATATATATATATATATATATATATATATATATATATATATATATATATATGATATATATATATATTATATATATATATATATATGTATATTTGATAACACATATAACATGATTTGACAGCTGAATAATATTCGATATTCTAAGCGATTTTAAGAACGATCGTGACTGCGTCTTCTTTCATCTTCTTTAAAAATTCCTTGAGAATATTAATGTCATTTGTCACGCTGATATAAATATGTCGAGCGTATGTGCTGCAATCATTATTTTCCTGGCTAGTTTCGTTGTCCATTCTAAATGATTTCGTTCTTTATGAAGGTAAAATTGTGTTAAATGACTATTCATTTCAATAATTACAAGACTAACGGAGACTGAAGGCCAAAAATCTCGTCTCCCAAAACAATGACTCACAATTCGTACCCTTCGAGATATTCCAAATAGTTGGGTAGATATATTTCTTTAAGTAAGGATGATGTTAACATCAAACTTTGAAAAACCTGGGGAACGCTCAATGAAATGAAGAAAATCTGGAAATCAAATCTACCAGACAATCTCACAAGAAACTTTTCCGTCCTTATATATGGCTCCTTAACCTGGACACTAACAGTCAAACTGGAAAAGAGGTTAGCTGATGCTTACACACGAATGCTTCGTGCAGCACTACACATTTTCAGGAAGATCACCCAAAAAAGAAAGAGCTCTATGGCAACAGCAAATTGATACGGCAACATAGACTAAGCTTAGCTGGTCGCTGTTGGCATAGCAAAGAAGAACTAGCTGAAGAGGTTCTACTCTGGATACCATCCGGTGGAAAAAGAACACAAGGTCGACCAAAGAAGGTGTACATTAAACATCTGATTAAAGACACGGGAGGCAGACTGGATGAGCTTCCTAATGCGATAGATAGAAGCAGTGGGCAATGTAATGCCGAACAGGTCTGACATGATAATGATGAAAAGTCTGTGATTATGATTTGAGAAACTGCGTTGAATATTATAGGATATATATATATATATATATATATATATATATATATATATATATATATATATATATATATATAAAAATTGAACATTGAAGTCGACACTCATTCAAATAATATATAAGTAACAATGAGTACAAACTCAGCACTTGAAGATTACGTTTGGCATGAAACACCGATGCGTGCAAATGGTGTGTGATGCACTTCCATGAATTAAGCCCTGTCGGTCATTGGCGTGTTTATTCGAAGAATGGCCACGTAAAAATTCGCCTTCCTCTCTACTATAAACCCAATCGGGTTTCGATCCCGTCTTGAGGCAATCGGTCTAGACACAATGATTAGCTGTGTTACTGCAAGAAACAGTCTGTCTATGGATGACGATATATATATATATATATATATATATATATATATATATATATATATATATATATATATATATAAAATAAAATATAGTTTTAAGATATGCTATATGTATAGGTTAAAATGCTCAATATTTATAGAATATATGTAAATATAGAAGTGGACGATGAAGTCAACACCTAATAGTGTCAGTCTGTTTCATGTTAAAAGCAATCAGCAGACTAATATATATATATATATATATATATATATATATATATATATATATATATAAATATAGTTTTAAGGTGTGCTATATTTATGGGATAAAGTGCTCAATATCAGAGATAGAGCGTATGTAAATATAAATATAAAAGTGAACATTAATTCAACACTCAGAGACAACAGGCTTTTTCCTGCTAGGCGCAATCGAATCATGTGACCAGCAGTCTATTTCTCTTATTTAGGGCGCCCGGGTTATTCAAATGTTGTAAGATAATTGTTTTTTTGTTTTTTTTAAGTAAACACAGGTTGCATTTATTCCCTTGGGCATAAAATGGTTTAGCCCGTGCCATTATACTCCATTTAATTCAATAGGAGTTGACGGAATCTTTCATTTGTCAGGAATAATTTGAGAGAGCGTGGTATTTCTGTATTTAATGTTAGCCAAAGTCATACGGCGGTGGTACAAGCGAAACTTCCAAGGATTTTCAGTGGAAACAAAATAAAATTTATCATCAGTATCGGGATGAATGCACACTCGATATACAATATTATCTGTCATACATTGACCACTTAATGATTACATCGTATTTTTTCGACAATTTCAATTATTCTTAGGAAAATTTACGTTGTCTTGGTTGGTAAGATGTTTACTTAATATGATGATGTTATGTAGTGATATAAATCTACCAATGTTAATAGTGCAGCTCTATCTGATTTTGACAATAGCTTTGTTAAAAAAACGACCTTTTTTAATACTAGTGACGTTTAAATCGCTTATGGATTAATTTTAGGAATATTTTACCGACATTAGTTTGAACATTACGGTTAAATGGTGTATACAACTATATAATATTGGGTTTACCGTGTTTTTGTTTTGTCTTATCGTCTCTGATTTTTTTTCAAAATTCTCTACATTTACATTATGATTCCCAAGTTCCAAAATTTACCTTTAGTATTAGTAAATATGTCTTGGTTACTGGAGTTGGTGATTAATCTAACTTGTACTGAATTATGCAAATTATCGTGAATATTTTGATGATGTTTGAATATTTACTAACGCATTTATGGTTATGCAGGCCTTTTGTGCATGGTTTATGGTAACTATTGCCTGGTTTTAATGTTACATCTAGATAATTACTTTTGTATTGGCGGTGGTGATAATGTTTAAATCATGATTCTTAAAAATGGATATCTTCTTTCCCCAAACGATCAATATTGTTCTGTCTAGGTTTCGCCGTCAACTCTATATATCCCGCCGTCCTTAATGTCGAAAAAATATATAAGAAACCACAGCAACAGAATTCCAACATATTACATAATCTGCAAAATCATACGCACATATAACAAAAATTAAAATCAGGGTTATTTCTCTTAGTCACATGCAATCGTTGTGAAAAAGTACCACTGTTTGTGCTTGCTTTCTCATATTTATTGCTCTGTTATATGATATCGAATACTGTTATATAGCACCAGGCCTTTATACTGTATATATATATATATATATATATATATATATATATATATATATATATATATATATATATATATATATGTGTGTGTGTGTGTGTGTGTGTGTGTTTGTGTGTGTTTGTGCGTGTGTGTGTCAGTGCTATATATTTGGGCAGCGATTCTTCTTTTCTATAATTTACGTTAAAGACGACAATCAAGGTACAGCAGTTAAGCTTTTCATTCATTTTTTTCTGGACATAAAGTGTGTAAAACGCACTTGGCTATTCTGTTATCCATTATAAAGAATTTTTTTTTCTTTTTTCTTTTTTAACGGAATATGCCGTATTATATATGCGTGTCTATAGCGATTGTAATGTTTTATTTTCCAAGCACGGTCAGCACATTGTCACTGCGTTCATATTTGATATTAGTGAATTATAGATTTGACATTTTTTTTATTAAAGCTTTTATTATTTTGGGCCAACATTTTACATCTAGATGTGTCTATCATGGTTATATGCACCACAAGTCTGTTACGGAAAGTTGCTGTTACAAACTTTATGTCCAGGAAATTAAACACTTGTATGAATGCAAGAAAAATTGAATTAAATGCTTAAGCGCAGTATCTTGACCGTTGTCAAAACATTATATATATATATATATATATATATATATATATATATATATA